CCCTCCACCCATCCCTGCTACCATTTGATATACAGAAATCAAGCAGATGACTTGTTGAGTCCTGCTTTGGTGCCTGCACTGGGGGCAGTGACCTTCTTTGTGCTTGAGTCCAGCCCTTTAGGTTAGGTGTATAAAGGCCTTTGCAGACTGCCAGAAATATGCACATTAAATTGAGGCACTGCCCTGGCTCAGTGCTAGAGAATCATGGGAACTGTAATTTATTGTGGCACCAGAGCTCTCTGACAGAGAAGGCTCAATGTCTCGGAAAAAAATACAATTCCCATGACTGCCTAGCACTGAGCCAGGGCAGTGCCTTAATTTAATGTGCACTATTTATGGCAGTCTGCAAAGGCCCTAAGTCTGGGCCTATGGGGCACACTCAGCTCTTTCCACTGCTCTTCCTTCAGCATATATTGATTGAGGCAGGGTCGCCACTTGGCCTCATGGTAGGGCCAGCCCTGGAGGTACTTGTCAAAAAGTTACAGGGATGAGAGTGAAGGATATTTTAAAGCCTGTCACACCAGCCATTCATCTTCCAAGTGTGTTGATCATTCTGGAGTTGTCTATGGTAGAGTGGCAATTAACAACTATCTATCTATCTATCTATCTATCTATCTATCTATCTATCTATCTATTTTATTTATATCCAACCTTTAGCTGGGATGGGGCCACATAACTTCTCAATCCACATACCATCAATCCACTTTATCGACAGAGTCTGCAATCTGGCACACAGATCGGGCTACCATGATGTTCAATTTTGTTCCAGTTCTCTTTATGATCAGGCTAGATGGGACCCTAGGAGATCTGTCTCTGGAGATCTCATGGGATTATTGTTGTGTTTAAAGAGCTACTAAATGTTTCTCTTAATTAATCACATATCAGTGCTTATGCAATTTCCATGTTACTTGAACTGAAATTCCCAGGACCCACAAGACATTTTCTCTTGGACTAAACCACCTGGGAATGTAAAGTTCACCCCAACCACTATGGTAGCCTGTTCACCCAGCCATTTTGGCTAAGGTTAATGGGAGATGTAGTCCATCCCATCAGAAAGGCCTCAAGCTGGGGAAGGCTGCATCAAGGTGTTTTCACAAATTACACTGAAATGTCTATTTTGTTATTGTTGTGTGCCTTCAAGTCATTTCTGACTTATGGCCATCCTAAGGTGAACCTATCACAGGGTTTTCTTGGCAGAATTTGTTCAGAGGGGGTTTGCCCTTTCCTTCCTCTGAGGCTGAGAGAGTGTGACTTGCTCATGGTCACCCAGTAGGCTTCTGTGGCTGAGCGGTGATGCGAACCCTGGTCTCCCAGTCCAACATTCAAACCACTACACCATGCTGGCTTTCAAGAGCCAGATTAGGATATCAGAATTATACTTTACCGTCTTGCATTAGAGTAAAAGTGAGTCCATAAAATGGATCAGAAAGAAGCAAACATGGGTCAGATTTTTTTTTAAAAAAAGTGCTTTAATTTTGCCCTTTTTTCTTATTTAAATTTCATCCCCATCCCCTAAGGAAAAATATACAGACACTATATAAACATCTGCCAACTAGGCAAATAAAAGCTCTAGGAAAAATTGATTTATAACTGGAAAATAGCACACAACACAATAGTCACTCTCCAGCTGCAAGAGTATGGAAATGTTGACCATAGTGACTAGAGGATTCTGGGAGTGGTCATTCAAATAACATTTCCAAGTTCTGGATTATGTTGATCTGATGTATGGTCCCTGACAGCTGCTTTGAACTAAAACACACACACACACATATACACACTCCAATGGGAGATCCCATCACAGATCTCCCAGTGATACTCAGGAATGGTGTGTGTGAACATAACTTTACTCAATTCCCAGGCAGCTTACTTGAGGAGAAAATATTCATGGGTCCTCAGAGGTTCAGTTCAGTGAATGCAGGAGCTGCAGAAATATTCTTCCAGAGAAACCTGAGCACTTGACAAAATAAGTGCTAGCATGAAGTTGCTGAGAACCTGTTGCTTGACCCTGGGCCACAGAGGAAATGGATTTCATAAGAAGCAGTGAATTCTCTAGAAAGGATGATGAAGCAAAGAAACTACTCTCATAAATAAATAGGGCTGTAAATTGTCTCCCCATCCCCATTTTTCTTCAACCACATAGCAGGGTACAGCTTGGAAACATTACTTTTTGAATTACAAATCCCAGGAATATTTATTTATTTATTTATCTCAACTAGCTGGAGGATCCTGGATGTCTATAGTACAAAATACAATTTCCAGGCCCTGCAGAAGGGAAATCTATGTGTGTGGGTAATCTTATGGGCCAAGTCAAGGACAGAAGACTTTGGCCAGAATCTTGTTGGGGACTTACATCTTCATAAGTGGATTTACGTATGCAAGAATTAGACTTACACAGTTGCATGAGATCTATATCCACTGAAGGGCTACTCTTATGTTACTATGTAGCAGAGCCAGCAAAGTGCCCACTGCGTGTTGGTGCCTAATACACAGCAGGACCAATGCCAACGAGACTGATGTACATTGGTTCTAATGTGAATCTCATCAGTCCTGATGTACATCAGTCCCAATGCACATTGGGTATACTTGCCAGTGCCCCATTATAAATCTTTCCAATTCAGTAAAAGTTTTGCTTAATGCCTTTGCTACATAGCTAGGTATATGTAAAGCTATATAATAATAATAATAATAATAATAATAATAATAATAATAATAATAATAATAATAATAAATTTCTTATATCCCGCCAGTCACATAGGGTTTTATGCACAATGTTCCTAATTTCAGCCTGTATCACATCCAGCTGGATTAGGGAAAATCAGTGATCAAAATCCTAGAGGTTGCTTGCCAGCCAGTGAGTTACTGCAAGTAATTACTTCTTCGAAGCTCCCAGGATGCACCCCCGTAAAACAGAACAAAATCAAGTTACATCTTGGACTACAATTTGCAGAATCAGCTAGGCTTGCTGCTTGAGGATTCTGTGAGTTTTAATTCAAATAGCATTTATCCCAGTCTCTGAGTAAAAAGCAATTTAATAATTTGGGACCCTCCCAGATGGAACCAATGTATTGGGAGATGGTGGTATTTCATACGACCTTATCACACGGGGTCTAAAGCAGAGTTAATCCAAAGGG